AGCGTACAATTATGGCCTGGGAGGTGTATAAAGGCTTGCTCCCCTGGAAAATTGCAATAAAAAGTAATAGCAAGGACATGTATTTCTTCATTCTGAGTGATGAGAGATAGAGATTGATGAGATAGATAGTTTATTACCAAATAAAATACATTGCAGCCATAGGCTGAATTGTGTGCTTTTCACAATCTTTGATTATATAAGACTATATGAGACAACCAATTACAAAAATGCTAAGACCTAAACAAAATTACTAAATAAATATAACAACTATAACTAATATACAGCAGTGGAATAGCTAAAAATCTAGGTTAGCACACGCACACATAGCCGGGATAAAAATGAAGATTTAAAATGATCAGTGCAAAAGCGCGGCATGTTAAAAATGCGCCGGAGTCTAGTATTGTAAGCTGAAAGATGCCTATCTGGCAGCAAATTATATAATTTGTGAGATGGATTTGAGACAGACAAAAACAGATCCGTACATAATTTCATGCGTCTGTCATAGAGCGAAGCTAAACTGATAACTTCCATTGCTGAAGTGTTTGAGGCAAGTACAAAAGAAAAAAAGGAGTAAATTCTATTTACCAAATTAAAATCAGTTATATGGGTACTGAACTAGAACTGCAGTTTGCTATCTCAAAATCAACAATTTAAATCAGAAACCTTGAATTCATGAGAAATGAATAAATGGTTGTTATGGGCTTGGAAACAATTTCAGCTTCTTAACAGGTACACCAGCACAGGAAACAAATCCCTCACCTTATAAAATGTATAACACTCCAGGTCAGCACTAAAAAGCTGATTAGCAGCATTCTATTTTAAAAAAGAATAGAATTACAAATTGAATTGTAAACAGAGTCAGACAGTTAAGGCAAAAATGAACCAAGTCCAAGTAATTGAAAGAAGCATACACAGTGTTTACTAACAGTATCAATAACTTACTGGTCTAAATGTCACTCGGAATGATGCAGTCTTTAGAGGGAGGATGTCTGCTTCATCAGGGGAAACAGAAAATATCCCCTTTGTGTCTATCAGACAGAAAGGAGCAAAAACTTAAAATAAGAAGAAATCACAACATTCATTTGCAATTTAAATTATAGGTCTCAAATCGTTGTTGTGTCTATCAGACAAAAAGGAGCAAAAACATAACACACTTGAAGAAATCACAATGCAACATTTATTTGCAATTAAAATTAAAGGTCTCAAACTAGAGATGGGAAGACAACAATTGTTAATGACATAAAAAGTTCAATTTAAAATGATCATATTCACCTTTTATCCACATGCAAGTGATTTTTCCCTTCGTATGATTTGTGATGTTTACTGTCTGTATAAAGTAAACACAGAAAGCAGAATAAACAATTGAGCTCTGATTCACAGTGAACTAAACCAAAGGAATAATCAACTAAACCCTTTTTTTGAAACCATTTACCTTCTGCTCCACAGCCTTAGGATCTAGCAGCTGCCCAAAGTCTGCCTGGTGAACATCCAAACTGACATGAGGGACAATGGTGGTCTGCAAATCATGAATTCAAAATAGAGATCACATTAGAATCAAACTTCATGCATTAAATTTAATTGGAAGAAAAAATATGGACCTTAACAAACATACTACAGGGGCTTCATTAATGTTTTCTGCAGGAGGGCAACTGGTTTTCACAGGCGGGAAAAACTCTTT